GGTATTAGGTGTGGTACGGTAACAGGTGAGGTATGGTATTCTGATCCCCTCCTCTTTCTCTCCCTTCCCCCTCTCCCTTGCAGCCTGAGGGTGGGAGCACAGGAGCAAGGGCGGGAGAGTGGAGTCACCCTCTCACACACCTCCTCCTCTCTCCCTTTTCCCCAGCCGTCCCAGCAGCACCCTGCCTGGACCACAGTGGAGTCCCGCACTTCCTCTAATCCCCCACTCCCCACTTCCCAGCAGCCTCACCATCATGGCGCTCTGCATGGCTCTGGTAGGTACAGGTAGGTTGGCATGGGGGTGAAGTGTGGGGTGGGTAGGTGGGAAGCATGGGAGCAAGCAGGGAGTTCACTTTCTGAGGGGCAGCATTCTCAGGGGATGGGCCTTGTGGGGTGGGGTGTGGAGGGTGGAATCTCCGCGGCACGGCACTCGGTGCTCAGGTTCCCAATCTGGCGTTTAAGGCTTAATGGACACCGTCAGAGCCGACCGGCCGGCGGCTCTGGTTCGCGTCAGCTCTAGCTACGTCAGGGGCAGGATTTGAGTCTTGGGCTGGAAGCGATTTTCCACTGCCACACCTCGCCCGACAAAGCGCAACTTCTGCGGATGGTGTTTCCAAAAGGGGGTGGGCTGTCTGCTGCTCCTACTGCTGGCAGGTGAAGTTGGGGTGCTTGCTTCCCTCTGTATCCTCTCTCTGATCACTTCCCCCTCTACCTTCCCCCTCTACCTTCCCCCTCTACCTTCCCTCTCTACCTTCCCTCTCTACCTTCCCGCTCTACCTTCCCTCTCTACCTTCCTGCTCTACCTTCCCTCTCTACCTTCCCTCTCTACCTTCCCTCTTTACCTTCCTCTCTACCTTCCCTCTCACCTCCTGCCTCTGTATCCACCCCTTCTCTCTGTTTTCCTCCCCCTGTATCCTCCCTCTATCACCTCTCTCTCTGTTCTCCTACATCTGTATTCTCCCTCTGTCACCTCTGTCTCTGTTTTCCTCCCGTTATCGGCCCTCTATCCCCTCTCTCTTTCTGTTTTCCTCCGTATGTGTCCTCCCTCTGTCATCTCTCTCTCTCTGTTTTCCTACCTCTGTCACCTCCCTCTCTGTTTTCCTACCTCTGTCACCCCAAGCTCTGTTTTCCTACCTCTGTCACCTCTCTCTCTGTTTTCCTACCTCTGTCACCCCTCTCTCTGTTTTCCTACCTCTGTCACCCCTCTCTCTGTTTTCCTACCTCTGTCACCTCTCTCTCTGTTTTCCTACCTCTGTCACCTCTCTTTGTTTTCCTACCTCTGTCACGTCTTTCTCTGTTTTCCTACCTCTGTCACGTCTCTCTCTGATTTCCTTCCTCTGTCACCTGTCTCGCTGTTTTCCTACCTCTGTCACCTCTCTCTGTTTTCCTACCTTTGTCACCTTTCTCTCTGTTTTCCTACCTCTGTATCCTTCCTCTGTCACCTCTCTCTCTCTCTCTCTCTCTCTCTCTCTCTCTCTCTCTCTCTCTCTCTCTCTCTCTCTCTCTCTCTCAAACGGTCCTTTGTATTAATTCAGCAGGGGTACAAACATGCGGTGCTATCCATGATAACCTCTATCCCTTAAGCCCCAAAACTTACCACTCTTCACCCCCCCCCCTGAGTGACCCTCTAGCCCTCCAGCGTGTGGAGGATGTCCCCCAGGTGCAGCGGCCAGGGGTCCGCTGCCATCTGGGGGTGCGCTGCCTCGATCCCAGCCCTGGCCTTGGTGTGCAGGGCATTAGCCTGGGAGCGCTGGAGGGCCACTGACCAGCGCTGGCTGAAGTGGCAGGCCATCTTCTTGGCCGATTTCGCCAGGGGGTTGGCCCTGAACCGGTTCCTAGCTGCTGCTGTGGCCAGCAGCTTCAGGAACGCAGTCGTGGTGGGCGCGTTTGCCCCGTAGGTCTCGACGGCTAGGGCGCAGAACACCACGTGTTCCGTGTGTCGGTAGTACTCCCTCTCCTTCCGCCTCTGTGCCTCTCTAGCAGCCCAGCCTGGGGGTTTGCGGGCTGTGGGGTCCCGGTTCTGCAGCACGGGGTCTGTGATAGTGGTGTCTGTGATCCAAGTCTCTCCACTGTCCGGGTCGCGTACAATCACATCGGCTTTCTTCGGGTCATCCGGCGGTGAGTACATGGCGTTCTCCAGGTATACCACCAGCTGTGCTTCCCTTGCCATTTTAGCCACGGCAAAAGCTAGCTGGTTGTGTGTGCGTGTTCTGTCGGGGTCTGTGCTGCAGCGGAGTAGGTGGTTGGGTAGGCTGCAGTCGGCTACGAGTTCTCCACACTCGCACACAGTGGGTACATTCTGTCGGATGCCCATGCGGAAGGCCAGGGCTGCTCGGAATTGTCCCGGTGAGAAGCAAAGGTCCGGGGTCAAAGGTAGGGCCTGCAGCCATGCTCCCGCTCCCTCCCCTCTCAGGCTGATGAGGCGGAGTGAGTGACCCATCTCGGGGGCTGACTGGATGGTGCGTGACTCCTCTGTCAAGGCGTCGGCCTTTGCCGCGTGCACCTCCTGAGAGAGGGCGCGTTGCAGCTGGTCTTGGGACGGGGTTTGCTGCTCCTCCCGGAGGTTTTGTAGCGCCAGCGGTGGCAGGCGCCCCTCCATGTCCTGGATGGTTACTGAGTGCGCTGCGGACGGCTGCAGGGTGTTGTTGTTGGCCCCCAGTGCCGCGGTTGCTGGTAGGTCAAGGGAGCGGAGCAGTCGTAGCGCCTCCGTCGTTGATGCCAGGTAGGCCGGTGCTGCTTCTGTTGTGGGGTCTGTAAGTCCCAGCCCGCCCAGGGCGACTGGAAGAGTTGCTTGTCGGAGCAGGAAGTTGAACTCGGCTTCTCGGCGTGGCGGTTGAATGCTGGCGGCGGTCAAGGCCGTGTGCAGTAGTTCGGAGCACCATGTGTGCCATTCCGAGAGGGGTAAGACGTCTGCTAGGGTAGTGCGTAGCAGGTAGCCGATTCTGCGGCTGATGCAACGGGACAGTAGCAGGAGGGCATGTTGTGGGTGGATGGACGCCAGGGAACCCAAGGGGGCTGCCGCGTCTGTCAGGGTACTGCGGACAAAGGCAGAGCAGAAGCTCTGCGACCCCACAGGACTTCCCAACACCCGTACCCCCTCGTGGGTGTGGGGGAGGCCTTCAGGGAGCACGACACCTCCAAGCGGCATGGAGGACCACGCCGACGACTTCATAAAGTTGCAGGTGAGGCCATCCTGTGCTAGTAGCGGCGTGAGCTCCCTTAGCGCGTCTAGCGTCGCCGTCGCGGGTCCAATCATGGTTATGTCGTCTGCGTACGCGAGGACGGTGACTTCCGGGTGCTCCGCTGCCACGTGCCTGAGGTGCTGCTGGATAGACGCCGCGAATAGCAGGGGTCCGAGGGAATCCCCCTGTCTGACTCCTCTTCCGCTGGTGAGTGCTGTGGAATTGAAGCATGGATCTAGCAGCAGCGGTGATGGTGATGCGTAGAAAGAGCGTGTGAAGGGGATGAGGGGGGCTAGCGGGGAGCCGATAAGTGCGTTGAAGAACGCGCTCCTCTCGACTGAGTTGAACGCGTTCTCAATGTCGAGTTGGAGGACTAGGCTGGAGGGCTGCACGGTGGTGAGGTCTCTGACTGCATGGATGACGAACTCAGCACCTCCCGGGACTGCCACGCCAAATTGCTGAGGTAGGAAAAATTTTCGCGTTTCTCCTTGCAGGTCTGAGAGTGCCACTTTCGCCGCCAGCCTAAGCAATGTTTCTCCAATCGCGATTGGGCGTACCCCCCCCCCTGGTTTGGCGAAGGCTATAAGGCGGGACGGGGCGAGTAGGGCTGCAACCTCGGTGGAAAGGTTTGTCGAGAGAAGGTGTTTAACGGCGGAGTGGAGGTGCCCTAGTACCTCGATGTTACTTAGCGCTGGATCGCGGTAGTGTTCGAAGGTTGACCCCGATGGGCCAGCCCCAATTCCCCTGGGGCATTCCCCGAGGACGTCCGAAAAGCTTTCCAGGGTGGTTGAAAATTGTGTGGGTGTCGTGTAGGAGTGGACCCAGTCGGGCAGGTCATTTTGGGGTTGGGGGTGTTTCGATTCCAGCTGCTGCAGTGTCGCGAATGTCGCCGGTGCTGATGGCGAGGGTTGAAGGGCCGCTAACGCCTTTCGCAGGTTACCCCTTTTCACCAACCCCTCCGCACGTGAGCAGATTCCCAGCGGGTCACGTTGGTGCTGAGGTGGTTCGGCCAGGTGCATTGACCCCAAGTATTCGGTGTACAGCTGGGTCCAGTGTCCACATCGGAATAGATGCATCTGTGCCCGCAGCAGTTTCCACCTAGAGCTGGATCTCCGGCTAAGTCTTAGCGTGAGACGTGGCAGGAACATGAGGACCCGCCACGCTCCCGCGCAATTAGGCAGCTTTGAGATCCGTAGTAAGGCAGCCAGCATACAGGTGGAGTAGTCGCTGAGGATCTGCGGCGGCAGTCGGCGGACGATTGGTTGGTGGGTGATGGATGTTAGGAGCGTAAGGTCCCAGGTCATCGCGATCTGGAAAAGATCCTCCCGCGAGGCCAGCTGGGACGCAGATAGGGCTTGGTCCGGTGGGGGCTGGGCTCTGCGCTGCTGTCTGCGGTTGGTTCCTCTCTCCTGTTGCTGCGCCACCTCCTCTCCTGATTCCGCGCGAGGTGAGTCGGGATTGTCTGGTTGCCTCAGATCTGACGGTATATAGTCCTCGTCTCTCGCCTCTCTGATGATATCGACGTTCCTCCCTGCTTGCGCTGGTGCACCACCTCTCGCCCCGCGCCTAGCGAACAACTGCCGCGTGATTCGTTCCGCCGGCTCCCCTAGCCAGATTGGGCTCGGTGGTTGGCGCCCGCGCCCCCTCGCCGCTTGACCTGCGCTCCTCTGTCCTCCGCGCGCTCCTCGTCGCGATCCTCTCCCCCGCGCGCTTCCCCGTCCGCTCTGCGGGGTCCCTGCTGCTAGCGCCGCCTGTTGCGTGGGGAAAGTCGGGGTTGTAGGCTCCCCTTGTGTTGGAATTGCGCCTTGTGCTTGCGCAGATGGCGCTTCCGTCCGCCCACGACCGCGAGTGTACCGCGGAGAGTGCACCTGTGCTTCCGCCACGCCCGGCGGTGAGCGTTCCTGCTCGTCCTCCCGCTGCTGCGGACCAAATCCGGCGCCGATTTGAGGACCAGCGCCGTCCTCCCGGGCCGCGCGTCGCTGATTCGCCTCCGAGAGTGGCAACCCGCGCGGAGTCCGCTGTGCGTTCTGGCGCCTTGGCGGAGCCGCACCGGGGGCGTTCTCCGCGTCGTCGGACGCCTGAGCCTCGTGACGAACGCTGCGAGGGGCGGCGTGAAGATCGCCGCGAGCGTCGCTCCCCTCGTCGTCAGGGGAGCCGCAGCCGTTCCCTTGGGCGTCGTTCGCCAAGTCACCGTTCCCCATCTCGCCATTCGCCTCGCTGTCATTCACCCGCGCGCCGATCCTCAGGGCGTCGCTCTCCTGCTCGCCGTTCTCCGCGCGAATCGCCGGTGAAGCGCCAGCGGCGCCATTCTCCATCGCGTCGTGAGCGATCCCCTGCGCTCCGCCCGCGCAGCACGTCCCGGCCCCAATCTCCAGCCCGCTCGTGGTCGAATAGTCGTGGGCGGCGTGGCAGTCGCGGGGGCCGCGGACGCGGGGGCGGGGGTCGCCAGTCTGCGTCGGACTTTGCGCGCGCCCTGGAGAGGCTTCCGGACGTGCTCGCAACTGCTCTCCGTGAGTCGCAGGCGGCGACAGCCTGTCGCTCCGTTCCGCCAGACGCTCCTCGTTCTCTTCCCGCCATTGTCGAGGTAGCCAACCGTGCGGTGTCCCCGCAGCGCTCTGTCCAGCAGCCGCCTGTTCTCCCGGGTTTTGTTGGCGCTGGCGGAGGCCCAGCAAGGGGTCCGTATCGTGACCCTCGTCCTCGCCTTGAGGAGGCGGAGTATTCATGTTCCACGGCGACCCTGCGTCAGCTGTGGATACTGTCGGAGTGCCTAGAGGCACTGGCGCGTGTTCTCCGGTCGACTCGTGCGTCGATGGCGATATCCCGCCCGAGCACATTTGCTGAGAAACCGCAAGCAGCGTGCTTGGGGGCGGCGGATGAGATCCTATCCCTCTTGGCGCCACTGCAGGCAGCGCCCTCCCCGGGTGCAGACGCGGCCAACCTGCTGGCTCGCGCGGCCCTGGATCTGAGGCACATTGCAGGGTCGGTTGAAGGCACACCCGGAGATGCTCTAACCGCCTGCGTGTCAGTGGTCCGCCACTTGTGGCAGACCACGCGCGGAATGCTCTCGTTTCTGGGGGCGGACCGCATGTAGGTGCCCCCCTTTGTCTTGTGTAGACCTTCTCCATGATGCCTGCTAGTTGATGATGTTTGTCGCCATGCTGTCTGCTAAAGTTGTCCCGTTACCTAAGCTTGCCTCCTAAAATGCGCGGCCCTAGGCCGCGCACGCGAGCGCCGGCGGCCGAAGGCCGCCGGCGCGAAGCGCCGGAAAATTTGGAATCACCAAATGAATAATGAGCTAGGGAAGGTGCCGGCTGGCCATTATATAGCTGGGGGAAGGGGAAGAGGCTAGGAGGGAAGAGGCTAAGTCCCCCTTTCTCTCTCGCTCTCTCGAAACGAGCACCGGAAAATTTGGAATCACCAAATGAATAATGAGCTAGGGAAGGTGCCGGCTGGCCATTATATAGCTGGGGGAAGGGGAAGAGGCTAGGAGGGAAGAGGCTAAGTCCCCCTTTCTCTCTCGCTCTCTCGAAACGAGCACCGGAAAATTTGGAATCACCAAATGAATAATGAGCTAGGGAAGGTGCCGGCTGGCCATTATATAGCTGGGGGAAGGGGAAGAGGCTAGGAGGGAAGAGGCTAAGTCCCCCTTTCTCTCTCTCTCTCTCTCTCTCTCTCTCTCTCTCTCTCTCTCTCTCTCTCTCTCTCTCTCTCTCTCTCTCTCTCTCTCTATCTGTGTTTTCCTACCACTGTGTCCATCCTCTGTCACCTTCCTCTCTCTGTTTTCCTCCCTCTGTCCCATGAGAGCAAGACGCTGGTTGGTGGCACATGATGAGCCCTATGGCGCTGATGCCACATGTTGCATGAGAGCAGGATGCTCATGGGTAATAATCAAGTGTAGCAACTACATTTGTTGACAATAAATAGCAAAAGCTGGTCAGCAATATTTGGTGGCACATGATGAGCACTATGGCACTGATGCCACTGCAATGTGCCGATGTGAACTCTGTGTCTGCTCCCCCCAACGCCATGAAAGGGTTGTGGAGGCAATGAAATATGTTGACTCTGATGTTGTGTCACGCCGTGTGCTGTGCCATGCTGTGTGCTGTGCCATGCTGTGTGCTGTGCCATGCTGTTTGCTGTGCTATGCTGTGTGCTGTGCCATGCTGTGTGTTGTGCTATGCTGGGTGCTGTGCTGTGCTGGGTGCTATGTCATGATTGTTGGAAACAAGTAACTTAAGCACCCCTGTCGTGTCGAAACACCAAGTCAAGAGCGAAGCGAAACATATCGAAGCATCAGCGTGTCAACCCTCGGAGGTTGAACAACTGCTGGAGGTTATGCGAAAGTCAAAGGTCCACGACCTTTGACCTGACAAATACAGCGCGACAGCAAGGACAAACAACTGACTCGTTATTGTGCAGTTGCCCGAGTCATCACTGTATCGAACCGCAACAGCAACAACAAAACAGTTATTAGTTATAACTGTTCATATTCCCTTGCTCTTATAAAAGCTTGTATCCCTTTGTTTTAATCAATCTACTTTGCACTCACATTCTAGCGCAAGGTGGTTCAAACACTTCACTAAAAGCTTTCGTTATTACATTGTTCTACTCAGAATTTAGTCCTGTCAAGATCCTAAGGGCTTTCTGCCCAACAATGATATGTCAAATTATATCTATATGCTTGTTTAGGTTATCTAGGCTGTATGGGGGTTAGCACTAGGGTGTACACAAACTTTCTCGATACTCTAGTCTTGTACCCTAGCCTTGACCTAATTCACTCATTCTTGCCTTAGGTTCTTAACATGGTAACTAGAGCAGGAGGTCTCTAGGACCTACGAATCGGGCCCACCTAACTGCCTGCCTTGCCTACTGCTCGCGCGCGCCTCGGCGGCAGCGCGCGTCACTTATTTTTTCTCGCGCGCGCCTCGGTTTCTAGCGCGCGCGTCTCTGATTTTTAGCGCGCGCCACTGCTGCAGAGCCGCGCGCCGGTCCGCGTCGCCCGCGTAGCCCACGTAGAGCCCGCGCGCCCCTTATGCCGCCCGCGCGCAGCCTAAGCAGAGCCCGCCGCCCGCGCGCGACGTAGAGCCCGCCGCCCGCGCGCGCGCTGCCCGTAGCCACGTGCAGCCAGGAGCCGCGCGCAGCACGTAGCCACGCGCAGCAGAGAGCCACGCGCGGCCCTTAGCCGCACGCAGCCAGCAACCGCGCGCGCCCTACTTGTGTACTTGCCTGTGAGGCTCACTGCTGCCGAACCCACTGCCTTCGAACTGTACGGCCTGCCACTGTCTAGAGCCCCACCTTAGGAGCTCGGGTGCAGCAAGCTACTGCCCTGCACGTTGCCTGTACTGCCTACTGCCTACTGCCTCTATCTTAGCCTGCTGTCTACTGCCTACTGCCTCGTGTCTACTGCCTGCCTGCTTTCTGCTGCCTTTGCCTACTGCTGTTATGACGACGCCTAATGTTCTCGCGTTCGAGCCTGACGGTCGCCCCATAGAGTTCACTGTGTGGCTAGACGGCCTGCAACTGTTCCTTCTGACCGATGCCAAAGAGGGTGTTTCACTGTTCGATTACGTGTCTGGCACTGCCGTTGCTCCTGCTGCTGATGCTCCTGCTCTCGAACGCTTGCAGTGGCAGACTCGCGATGCTGCTGCACGCCTAGCTATTGGGAACCATCTGCCGATCACTGAGCGCGCGCATTTCAGCCAGCACAAAACTGCTAAGAAGCTGTACGACGCTATAGTTGCGCGCTACTCCTCCCCGGCCATTGCAGCCATAGGTCGACTCATGCTACCCTACCTGTTCCCCGACCTTTCCTCGTTCACCACTGCTGAGGACCTCATTTCTCACCTCCGCGCTACTGACACTCGCTTTCGTGCCGCCCTCTCAGCCGAGTTCTGCGCCGCAACCCCCCCCCCCCCCCCCCCCCCCCGATGTTCTTCACTCTCTATTTCCTCGTTAGCTCGGTCAGGGACCACTTCCTAGCGCTAGACCCCCCCACTCTCACTGTCGACGACTTCGAAAAGCACCTCCTTGCAGCAGAGAAAAACATCCTCGCTGTAGGTGCTGCTCGTGTCACTCCTCGCTCTCCCCTCTTTGAGGGGTGCTCCCCCTCCCCTCTCACCCCCTCCTACGCCTCCGCAGCTGCTGCTCACGACTACCTTGGTGCTGAGGAGGTCGGGGCTGCTTCCGCTCCTAGTGGGAAGCGTCGCAGCGGCAGGGGCGGCAAGGGTGGCAGGGCAGGTGGGGGCGGCGGTGGAGGTGGCGGTGGTGCAGGCGGCGGGGGCGGTGGAGGTGGTGGGGGTGGTCGTGGGGGTGGAGGGGGTGGAGGTGGTGGTGGGGGCGGCGGAGGCACAAGGGGCGGTGGAGGGGGCAGCAGCGGCGGTGGGGGAGGAGGGAGCGGTGGTGGCAGTGGTGGTCAGGGCCAGCAGCAGCCGCAGCAGCAGCAGCAGCAGCAGCAGCAGCAGCAGCAGCGTCAGCGCCAGACCCCCACTTCCCAGCAGCTTCTTGACTGGTATGCCGGGCGTGGGGCTTCTGGAGGTCCTGGTCGCTTCTGGGGGCCCCGCGCTAATCGCCAGTGCAAAGGGTTTCACACAAAGCAGCGCTGCTTCGCTCGACTTAGCAACGCCTGGCGCGCCAAGTTTCCTGATGCTACTGAGTTCCCCAACTGGGCAGACTTGCTTAGGCGTGATGTACCAATCTTTGATCTTGACTATGAGGCTATTCTAGCTGCTATGTATGCATTGTCTGTTAGTGCTGAGGGTGACTGCTACTTGTGTGTGCCGCCGGATCCTGGTATAGCCCCTGGTATAGCCCCTGCTGCACTAGGTGCTTGTGAGTCTGCTCCCCTTGGTACTGCGCCTGCACAGGCCTTGCACACCTTTACACTTGACTCTGGTGCTTCCCGCTGTTTCTTTCGCGACAGTACCACAGTCACTCCCCTTCCTGCACCTGTTCCTGTCTCACTGGCTGACCCCTCAGGGGGCCCAGTGCTTGCACGGTCTTCCACTGTGCTTCCGTGTCCGGCGGTCCAGTCTGGTGAGCTGTCTGGTCTCCACCTCCCCTCGTTCTCTACGAACTTGGTGAGCAACGCTGTCCTTGAGGACAGGCAGGAGGACCTTGAGTATCTTGCAGCCGCTGCGCCTCATCTCGTGTCCATGCTGCTTGCCCCTGAGGGAGACCCGGATGCACCAGACATCCCGACTCCACGATCGTACGCTGAGGCGATCGAGGGTCCCTACTCCTCTCAGTGGCAGACAGCCATGGACGCAGAGATGGCATCCTGGAAGTCCACAGGCACCTACGTCGACGAGGTTCCCCCTCCTGGGGCGAACATCGTCAGTGGCATGTGGATTTTCAGGGAGAAGCGACCGCCAGGTTCTCCACCTGTCTTCAAGGCTCGTTACGTTGCTCGAGGCTTCAGTCAGCGAGAGGGAGTAGACTTCTTCCAGACCTTCTCCCCCACCCCGAAGATGACCACTCTTCGGGTGCTGCTGCACGTTGCCGCTCAGCGTGACTACGAGCTTCACTCTCTTGACTTCAGCATAGCTTTCTTGCAGGGCAGCCTGCACGAGGAGATCTGGCTGCGCCGTCCACCTGGCTTCACTGGATCGTTCCCTCCTGGTACCCAGTGGAGCCTCCGACGGCCAGTCTACGGTCTCCGCCAGGCGCCACGTGAGTGGCACGACACACTGAGGACGACTCTTGCGGCTCTTGGGTTTGCCCCGTCGACTGCTGACCCGTCGCTGTTTCTGCGCACCGACACTTCGCTCCCGCCGTTCTACATCCTAGTGTACGTCGACGACTTGGTCTTTGCCACTGCTGACACTGAGGCGCTCGCCCTGGTGAAGTTGGAGCTGCAGAAGAGACACATGTGCACAGACCTGGGTGAGTTGCGCAGCTACCTTGGCCTGCAGATCACCCGGGACAGAGCACGCCGCACCATCACACTGACTCAGTCACACATGGTGCAGCAGGTCCTTCAGCGCTTCGGCTTCACCTGGTCCTCAGCACAGGCCACTCCTCTGGCTACAGGTCACTCGCTCTCAGCTCCACCTTCGGACGAGTCCGTAGAGCCGAGTGGTCCTTACCCAGAGC